AGATTATATTTCTCTTGTAGAGCCTATTTAATGCCGAATCCATGTTATTACTTCAGCAAAAGCTGGTCCAATCCGATATCACATTGGACTCATAATAAAGAGTTCAGTATATTGATACGATTACAGTTGCGTTTATCAAAAGGTTCTTGTAGTTAATGCATATTTGAAAATGATTTGTGTTTATAGTTATTTAGCCCCAATTGGCTTAGTACGTTTAAACGAATTACAAGCAAACGGGAATTATATTGAATAGATCTTAACGAAAATTAACAATAAATATTTAATGAGCTTAAGGATTTAGCAGAGAAGACATAAGATACTCGTTCGTGAAGACGGCTCAAATTGTGTCGACCGATGAACAGACAAGTTGAGTTACTGCTGTGATCACGCCCTTACACTACCCTATATAGCTTTTCTAGGCCCCATATAAGCAGATGGGCTAGAAATGGGAAATAGGTTGTCGACCACGTGATTCTCATGTGCTGGCAGCGCTGTAAAAAAAAAGAAAAAAAAAGACTCATTCACAAAGTCCTCTTATATGAAATTTTTTTTCTATCTCACAATCTTAATGATTTATTTAGTCCTTATTGTCATTGTTTAAACTTTTCTTGTTCACTTGCAAGCGCTTTGCAAAATTAGTGTTTTGCAAATTGTTTTTTTTTCTTTGACATGGTTGCTCTCTTCCACATTATTCTCTGCTATTTAAAATAGTTTGCAATGCTCAGTATGATTTTTTTTTATATAGTTGCCTTGATATTTTTTATTGTGTACCAATCTAATGGAACGTGGTTGGAACGTTAGCTGGTACACTCGGAGTTGTGATACATGGTTTTGAAATAGATAACCCGTTCTTAATCAGAAGTGGAACTTCGGCGGATAGTAGTGATGTACTTGCATGATGTAGTGGATAGTAAATGTACATAGGACACAGAGGGTATTTTAGTAAATCACTGAGTTACAGATCTCAACAACTTCGTGATCCGCCTGTCACTGTCAATCTGAAAGTACTCAGTTGAAACCGAGCTGCGCAACAAGAGCGCCATCCATAGCTTGGTGAGCACTTTGTGATTATCAAGTGTTTATCTAACCAACCGTCCGTAGCATAATCTGAATTAATTACATACGACTCTGAGTAATCGATATCACGCATGGCTGATTCACTAATATGTACACTGCATCTACTAATATTAATTCATTTCTGCAATGGAACCATTTCTTCTGTGCTATCGAAACACTCCGAGCTATATTCCACGTCGTGTTGTTGAAGGATACCTTTATAACATCTTATAGATTACTTTTTCGGTGAAACGTGGTCCTGTGTTGTTTAGATTACCTTATTTTATGGATATATTTCTTCTTCCTTAGTGAAAAATGACTTAACAAGAATATAATTCATCAGTAAAGTGATAAAGGCGTATGGTAATTTAATACAGTTCTTCTATATCTGCTGTAACATGCAGAAATTATTAGACTTGATATCGAATCTTTCCATCATGATTATTTATAAAATCGTTATAATTTGGTGAACAAACTGAGTAAAATAAGACTTTAAATTAGAATATTCTTACATAAGGTTAAAATGGTAATATAGGGGAAATTAAAATATTAGTATGAACTATAAATATTAAAGCATTAGATAATAAGTATTTGAGAAATTTTCGCTGAAAAACTATAATTATCTGCTCCCATACTCCGGTAAGCTACTTGGGTTCGATTCCCATCAGTGGACAGAATGTAGAGAGCCGTTATGTAGCGTTGCTCTAAGAAAACAACAGCAACATCATATCTGCCCCCCTAGTGGGAATAGAATGAATTTGATTCTTCACTATGTTAGTTGTTTATATTAAAGTCTCGGATATTTACTGAGCTGATCGCGATTTCAATCAGTTCTTTGGTGTATTGATGCTATCTGATAACAGCTGTCAGGTTAATGATAGACTGATGGAATTGTTCTTGTAATTCCGGTGAAGCTGTAACAGTCATCATCATCTAAAGTTACAGACCTTAAGTCTAGGTTTTGCCCCCTCTGGTGATAGAACTATCTTACTTTGTAGTAGCCGCAACAGATTTTTTTCTATTGAATTCTTTGAGCCAGATGTCATAGTGGTTTCTGCAGTTCATCTTGCTGTAACAATTCCAAGACCATATTCCCCCTCGCATCACGCCTTACTCTTAGATGTTATGATAATACCTCAATCTAGAAACTCGAACACTCTCGCTAACAGCTACCATCACCCGATCTCCCTTACTATTATTCAACAAAAATTGTTCTAAGGAGTACTTCTGAGTATTCACAGTTTGGTGTCTTTGGGTCGAATTTTGGAGACGTAAGTATTAAGTATTAGAAACACATGGATACGTGAACTTCACTGGTTGTCCCTTCACCTCTTGCTTCCTCCTATTTATACTTTATGCTTTTGTACAACCAAAATTTCCTTCCTACGTGTTTCCTTCACATGTAACTCTACTGTTTCGTGTTGTCTAAAAATATATTAGATAAGATACAGTGAGATTTGATTCAACGAGTTTCTCATTACACAAAGGGCACTTGGCACATGTTTCGGTCTGGGTTATATTTTCAGCACAGGTGAGATAACTTAGATCAGGACCAAGTTCCTTTTAACTCATATTTCTCCATAGGCCCCTTCTTAGCTTTAAGATGTCCCACCCACCAACAAAAGTGCAATTTGTATATATTTTTACAACAAGGTAAAAGCTTCGCTCCTCCCATGGCTAACCTTATAGGGTTTTTTTTCTGGCACTATGGACGTTATTACTCCAAGGCAACATTTCTCCTGCATTCAACTGTTGGCAGACTGTCTTTGTTTCAACAGCCAGTACCAAGTCTTTGTCTCAACAGCCAATACCCAAGCCTTTGTTTCAACCACACGAAAAGAGATGTGACAAGTATAAAGTTAAGGAAACCCTTTCTTTGTGTCTATGCTGCAGTAAACAGCACCAGTCAAATACACTAACGTTACTGATCTCTTTATGGGTATATAATACAGTGCAACTCACTCAATGTGGATACGCTTAGTGTTGCACATCTTCCTTCAATGCTCGCCTAGGTTCTCCACACGCTTTGTACATTCAAAATTTCAGAAGATAAAAGTCCTTCATATGAAGCGCAGAACCCATACTTGCCGCAAACTAAGGTTCCCATGGACACATCGTTCTCTATAAGTGTTAATTTCGACTCCACAGAATAACCATTCCAAATTGGGTTACATAGTTTGTCCAATAGCTGTTTTGTTAAGGCACGAACTTGTAGCATATTACGAACAGAGCAACATGCATAAGCCAGATAATATGCTTAGATTACTTACAAAAACCACATTTCTATCCCATTTTATCGTTTTATGATGCGGCAGATCGTTTTATACCTTTAATGGCACCCATCCTTTGAAAGCAATCTGATGAATAGTTTCGATCTATCATGGGCACTCATATAAATACAAATTAATGGATGGCAGCGTTAACCATCAGCATCCTTTCTACCCTATCTTTAGCTTTTAATCCGGATATTACAACACACCCATATGTCACACATTTC